TTAAGCGGTATTTACATTACGTTTATGAGTAAATGGGTAGTGATAAGGCCCTAGAAAACTGATAATTTTAGCCATTCCCCGGAACAACGTAATTGTAAAAAAAATAGAGGTATAAGTCCTTTGGTTTGGATCTACTTATGCTCCTTTATTATATTACATCAGCATCATCGGAATATTTTAAGGTTACACACGCGAACCAATAAGAAAAAAGGCGGCTTCAGCCCAACCGTCCTGTGGATAAAGCTTTACATAAATCCAACAGTGATGGCTTGAAACCTGTAGCTGAATTTATCAGAAATATGCCATTATAGCTCGATCAACCATCCAGCGTTACCCGCTTACCGATTAAGTATGTATAAAAATATAATAAGATATATTTTTTTAGCCGTCTGAATTTTCACTTATCCACGAACAAAAATCAAAAATGGGCTTGCTGAAGCCGCAGCTGGAACCAAACAGCTTATCAGCCCACGGAAAGACTAGCCAAAAAGTAGCTTTCTCAATCAAAGAGCACAATTTATGATTTCATTAAAATAGCTAATTTTATCTGCAACTGAATCTATGGCATGTCATGTTCCTGTATTGTTACCCGACACATTGATGCCGATGTGCGCCACTCGACGACCGACGACAGACGACAGCCGACACTCGTTGCGGTGGCAATTTGGCGCGAACAACAACCACAAATTACGGACGTACAAATAACGGCGGCAGAACCATGTGAAGCAGCAACTTACTCCGTTTGAGGAGAATACATTTTTTTGCTACATACAGACAGACAAACAAACTTGGACAAGTAGACCTGCATATCAATTCGGCCCTCTTGTGGCGTGCGATAACTTGGTAAGGCAGTACGCCTGCTGCGACCGCCACAAATGGTAAGCTGAGAAGCTAACTACCAACTCCATCTTCTACACGAACTCCACGTTAGCTTTCGCATTTTCCACCAACGCTAAGCGTTAGTAACTATAGCGGCGCTAAGCTCACTGTTTGATGGCAGGTGGCAATCAAGGCAAGTCTGTACTGGAAATGGTTTGGCGCCGAATCAACAAAAAAGAGACGTAAAGCAGCGACTTCAGTCGTGGGTGCAGCAATGTTCTCCCAGTTATGGTTGTTAAAGTTACCGATGCCGATAGCTATGACCTAACTGTGAAGTGTACAAATGACTTTTAAATGAATTTGCGCGCATCTAATACTACTGTGGCTATTATTTATAAATTTAATTCACGCATCTGTAGTTATCCAGCGAATGTTTGCGGTAGTTTATATTAACAATTAAAAAAAAAAAAATATTTTCGAGCACGGTCCGAAAGGATTTGGTCAACGACCGTTATGTCACGTCCCTTTTGAGATTCGGAGCAGAAAAAACGGAACTGATTTATTGACTACGCAATCAAAGACTTAGGTTTAGGTTGTTTCTCATTGGAGGAATGAGTAGCAACTGGGGCAATCTAACTGGGTTCTGGAGCGTCTATCTTATTCGGAGTCTATAAAGTTAAGGTTTTGTACGACAAAAAGTCTTAGGTTGACCCGATCTGAGAATTTCTATGTCACAACGTTAATGATAGCTCGAAATTATATAGATTAGGAACTGTACCAGCCAAGCCAATATTTGAAAAAAGGAGATTAAGTCCATATAAAGAATAAGACTTGTTAAGGAGTTTTTAAATAATCTCTCGTAAAAGATTGGGAGTCATATTTATATACCTCATCCTTCATAACACCTCAAATCATAGATTTGTGAGACATCAAAAAAAGGAAAAAAAAGTCTTCTTTATATAATGTAACTGAACACAGAGTAATCTACGAAATTTCATTAAAAATTTGAAATCTTAGACTCGCGACCTGCGCAAACTGTGAATTTAGAAATGTTTAATAAATGGTAGGCAAATAAATAATTGATCCTGCGTTCCTGGTTTATTGACCCTTTTCAAGGCATTTCAAGAGGCGACAGCCAGGCCTCAATGTTAATTATCAGCACCTTTGTACAAAGCGCACCTTTTCGAACGCAAAAGGACAAAGGAAAACTTCAAAGCGGCAACAATTTAACACCTTGGAAATGTTTACCCAAATCGAGTGAAAATCATTAATCAAACAGCAATTACCGAGGTAATAGTTGTATACCAATTTAGCAATCAATTACGAGTATTAATAAAAGTTTTATTGCTTTCGACACACATATGTGCACATAGCTATGTACCGACGCATAAGGCGCGCACACGTTCAGCCAAAGGAAGAAAACTCATTAAAAGCGAGTGGGTACATAATGCGAAACCTGAAATGTGGAGTTGGCATATCTTAAATGGAGTTTCAACATTTTAATTAAGTGGTAAAGGCGATAGCAATTTATGCGTAACAGAACTAATTGCTTGGTGTACATAAATAGACATAAGTCTGTACTCGTACATATATATAACGTATCTACAAACATAATCGGAATTTTCTTTCTTTCACTCTACAAATAACCAAAGTATCCACTAACTGTAGTCTCAATTTTTTATTTATTTCTATCATTTTCTTATATAATATTTTATTTACTTGAACTTACACTGGGATAACTACTGGATACTAAGATAGGTCAGGGAACATATTTTATGATATAATGCAACACCAACCAGAACTATCATATCGAAACGAGTCGTCTTAGATATCCTATAAGGAAGGATTTAGATTAAAGTAGAACAGTTCAGAGTAATGGTAAATCTAGCGTCAAGCTTGCACTGCTAAGTTCAATATTTAGACAGATTAATCGATAGCCTAGGAAATTGTTTGTTAAACAACTTCATAAGTTTGTAGTGAATTGAGCAAATAATCGATTGAGTTGTCTCAGCAAAAACTTAACAACAACATTTTGTTCATAGGGAAATTTGTATCGATTAGCATAAAGCTCATTCCTAGAAACTTCTATAAAAGCAATATTAGAAATCAGTTACAATTTTCTTTCGTTACTTTGCCTCGATTTAAAAGTAGACGGAAATACAATTTTTGAACTTTTTAGCAAAAAAAATAAAACTTCACAGAACGTTAAAACCTTCGGAGCTAGCAATTTATAAGACAGGTGTGTGCTAAAACGCATACTTGAGATCCCCAACACCCGATAACCAACATTGCTTTATTAAGATTAATGGAAGTTATGAGTCATGAAACCTTTGGTATCCGACAAATTAATATGGACCCAATAGTAATCCTTAAATTCAGGTAACATTAAATACGTTACGACTAGTCGAGCTTTATCAGTATATGGTACACAGATACTTTAGACCTACATTCATACCAACACGTACCACATGTTATACAAATATATTTCATTTGATACTCCAATAACTGTGTTATAATTACACATATATTACACGTATATATTTGTAACACAACTGGAATACTTTGGACTTTCTCAGTGGCAGAACGCATGCGTGCAAACACGTCTTCGCATGCCAGTCATGATGCCACGCTATTATAAAACATGACCAAATTGCGCATGATGCCACTAACACCCAATGCAGAAACTTTTTTCTTTAGACTTAGCCAACGACTTTCTAGCACAAAACTAATCCCAAATAGAGGACAACCGTCAACTGCAGTTTGCAGTTTCCGTTTGCCGCTGATCTTAGCAGCGCTGTTGTTTTTGCATTGTTGCCGGTAACGCTCGTATGGTGCGTCATTTATGGGAGTTAATTAACCGCATTGCAGGAGGTGTGAAAATATTCAACTATGGAATTTATTACTACATATTTGATAATTAAATTAGCCGCGGCCATTTTAGGTGGCAGACACTGGCGATTCGTTGCTGCTCCTGTTGCTGCACCGTTATTGAGTTTATGTCTTTTATGGCAGCAATTAATAAACATGGCATGCCGACGGCGTTGGCTTCAAGAAATATATCGACAGATAATTGCAAAGTGCAATCCCTGTAGGCAATAGTGGATGGATCTTTAAGATGTAATTCAAAAAGTTTAAAAGTTTTAACTTGTGAAGAAAAGAAGTAAGCAAGAATAGTAATAGAATAAGTAATATTGGGAAGACTACAAAAAACTCCAACGATGTCATTCATTTCCACATCTCTGCGGAAAATCCCACCATAGTCAAAAGGAAAGTTGGTAAATAACACAAAATTTAGAAGAAGCCATAGATCAACATATCCGGATCTTAGAAGTAATTTGGAGGAATGCTGTCGAATTAAGTCCTTTGTGGGATAAAGATCCTGATTCGCTCCTGTTACGTAGATCCGATTGTCGTGGGAGCGACTAATATTAATATTTTCGATCTGCTTTTGTTGTTGTAACTTTTATCTATTTCCCGTTTAGGTAGGTTTAGGAAGAGGTGTGTTAGATGAGTGAGATTCATTGGGCATACAAAGAGGTGGTTAGAGTCATGCGAGGAATCATGATTTCTGCGAAAACCTCCCAGCAGAAACTCCTTGGAGAGCAGTGCATTGTGTTTCTTCACCAGAAGCATGCAGCCTCACTTTGCAGAGGTGTTCGACGGATTCGATAGAAAACATCTGAAGGCATCCTGTTATCGTATAAAATGTGGTGCTCTGATACGTCTGAAGTTTCTGCGTTTCACTACATCCAGGCTACCGACGCTATCGGCGCCACGTAGCTGATGAGCTTAGAGACTTGAGGATTTTGTTTCGGCTCTATACTTTGGCGATAATCGCGTTCGTAAGCGGAGTGAAGAAACACAGGCTGTCAAGTGTAACGCCTAAAATCTTAAGGTTGCTGACATTAGAAACGATCTGTATAGGCGTCTAATATTTAAGGCAGAATTCCTAGATTTTTTATTTGCTTCCGTTTACGTGTCGCTAAATGCTGCATCCAAAAGCTCACTGATTCAAAAGAACTTGTTTGAGCTTTTAAGGGTATAAAATTTTCTGTTTTGGTATTTTCCTTCAACATTGGCAATATCACCGCAATATCGATAAATTTCACTGTTTCCACATATTCAAAAAATGGGTAATGCAAATTATAAAACAAGCTTTCTTAAAATTAAACTGTGTTAAATATAGTAGTAAATTTTGTATAATTTAAAATTATTTATTTGGATTTTTAATTAAATATAACAGCCCATAACCTTTACTGACAAAGGAACCTTATACATAGCCTATACACTAAAACAATAAAAATAATAATTTTTAAAACAAAATAAATTTACATATATGTAGCATACCAATAAGTTTGTGAGATTTCAAATTTAGCTATGGCATTCCGAAATTTGGTTCTTAAAGAACCCAATAGTATTCAATAGTTTTAGATTAATTCATTTTATGGATTTTTCATATTTTTTATTAATAATACCTTTCAAATTACTTAATTAAAGATGCAATTTAATTAAGATCTGTATAAGTTTACATATTTTGCATTGAATTATAATATATTTTGTGGAATTTAACAAAGTCTATAAAACCCTGCAGAATTATAGAATTAATGATTTGCATCTTTTTGTTGTTGGTTTCTTTTTCATTCCATGTTTCATTTTAATATTTGCTAGGATATACAAGATTTGGTGCTTTATTCAATAAAAACCAACTTATTCCAAAGAGACAACTAGGTGGACTATTTATCTTTGCCCCTTGTTTTATTAACTCTCTAGACTCCTCAACTGTATACTCAACCACATCAATCAGCTCATCGTCTACACCACCACCTTTAGTAGCCCGATCTTCATCCGTAACTTCACAATAATACAGCACCTGAGATGCGCCAGAAGCACCTACACCCGACCTATTAAAATTTATAAATAAATAAGTCCCAAAATTGTATATAATCTGTTACAACTACCTGTAGGTCAACACTTCCTCAATACGTTCAACAGCAACGTCATAACCACACTCCTCTAATACCTCTTCACGAGCAATCTCCCGCCAACTCTTGTTTTTATCCACAATACCTGCACACAGTTCTAATGTGACTCCGATTTTTGGAGGAAATTTTTGCAAATCTACTTCACCAACATCGCTCCCGCTTGCGGTAACGACGCTATGAAAGACAGCTAAAAAAAACAGAATATGTAGAGATTCTATATACAATTTGATTGAAAAAAAAATATGTTTTGAAATATCCAGAGTACTACAAACCTGGTCTAAATTGGCGAACGAAAACTAAAACTCGTCGTGTCGTGTTGAACAAAATTACAGCAACACTATCATGAACTTTTAATAAATCCCAATTCTTTTCGACACCATTCTGTACATAGTATAATCTAAATGGTTTCACGTAAGGTGAATCCGCTGGTAGTGGACCCATCCACATTTTAGTTATGTTCTCCATTTTATCCAAAAAACTATTGAGTCCACGCAAAATAACTTGAAAACGAATTTTGAAAGAAACACACTCCGCTCTAGTTATACTAAGTAAAAATAGAGAAAAAATTAGAGATAAGAGTAAAACATAAGTTTGAACTTTGATAAGATATTAGAGTCGACTCTTGTTACAACTATTTTCGTTTTTTAATGTGGCATTTATACATTTTTTGCATATAAAGCACGAATGTTTATGTAAATTATTTACCCACGAAACTATAGAGCGTCGATCGTTTAAAAATGTATAGATAGAGTTGCAAAATCCAGTACGATCAAAAACGCGTCGTTCAAACTATTAGCACCGAACAACAAATTAAAAGCTTATCTTAATTTAAGTTCAATGTTACATAAAAATTAATTGAATAGTTTATATCGTTCTGCTTTTTTTTTATTCAAACACCGGGCTTGTCAAACAGACAGCTGATTACACTAAGAATATAGTCGGTTTGTGCTACAAAATGTTTTATCTCAAATATTACCAATAATTTATATATGTGAATATTGCATAGAATAGGTATATTAATAAAACTTACATAAAATAATATATATAATATAATTGTATTTAATGATTAAAAAACCTAAGAACATGAGCAGCAAAAATTTTAATGTGGCAATGTGGTAGTGGCAAGGCTAAAATGTGACGTTTTTGCTTGAAAATATTTTCGTTTTGCTTTTACACTTTCTTTGCCAATTGTCAGAAGTTTTACTCTACTGCTGTCAGGCATTACGTTAACTATTCTGTGCACGCTAAATATTGTAATTTCAAAGGAATAATTATACAACTTATGATTAAGCTGATATGTAATTTCTTGCAGCACAACGACTAAGTAAACTAAAAAAAACGAATATTTTACGAAAATGCAGCCTGTAAAAGTGATATTTTCGAGCGTTGCACGTCGTGCTTTTTCAACATCACCCAAAACCCTTGCGGCGAAGCAGATTACCGTACGTGAAGCTTTAAATACCGCCCTGGATGAAGAGATGACACGCGACGACCGAGTATTTCTAATGGGTGAAGAGGTCGCTCAATACGATGGTGCCTATAAGGTAAGTCATAAATTATATTCCTTCATCCAAATAGACGTGGCAAACATGATTACGTAAAGCGTATCACACCAACAAAACAGACATTAGTTATAAAAGTGTATAGTGAATAGACAACTGACTAATTTATGGATATACACGCGCAGTGAACAGCATATGTAAAAATTTAAGTCATTAGTTACAATTCAAGCTATACTTGCACATTATTATTAGTTAGACAATTTCAAGATACAATGGAAGGTCATATAACGTTGTTAAGACATTAAAAAAAATCATGCGTTCTTATCTGTTAGCAGCATGCCAAAAACGACATATACTAACTAAATATGTATCTACTGATAAGCAGCATCAATTGTGCAAACAGCATCAGTATTGTTTATACCAACCACTTTTTCAATCATAAATTTTTGGTTTGATATTAATTTGTTTATCACCCCAGGTGTCACGAGGCCTTTGGAAGAAATATGGTGACCATCGCGTAGTAGACACACCGATTACAGAAATGGGTTTTGCCGGTATTGCTGTAGGGGCTGCTATGGCGGGCTTGCGCCCAATTTGCGAATTCATGACCTTTAACTTTTCCATGCAAGCCATTGATCATGTAAGTATTGAAGCAGTTAGATAATAAACTTGTTTCATGAAGTAGCATGAATGCGAATTCTTATAAATTTGTATTTTTCACTTTTGAGATATATGTATGTATGCCATAAATTATTTAGCACCGTTCTAATATGAAAATATTTATAGGAGCTTGTTCCTTATCACTTTTAAATAAAACAGATATATTATTGGGCTTAAATAGTTAATCCCACATCTTTACTTTCAAAAAATTATTTTCAATCTGATTAATTAATTAAAATTAGAAATACAAGACAGAAAAGTATCCACCACTTCTTTATTGTTATAGACGTTTCATACAAACTCACTTTTCTTATGAAAAGCATTTGTAGGGCTTGAATCTTTATATGTAGATTAGGGTATCCGTTATTTCTCAAGTTATTTGTTTTTTGCAAACGCCCCCTGAAGTTATAGCTTTAGTCCTAAAAATAAGGGTGCAACGTAAACAAGCACTTTAATTTTAATTTAGACGGTACCTAAATTAATTTTCTTTTCTCATGTAGATATCATCTTGATATTTTGCATTAAGAAATTAAATTTACAGTGATATTCTGGTACCAAATTTATTGCTCTATAAAAAAGGTCATAATAATTTTTTTAATAAAAGCTTTCGTTTAAAAGTTATACGCGGTTAAGTTTATGCAAGTGTACTGTATTCTTATAGTACACCATGTCGTATGAGTAACATAGAATTTATAAGGCACTTGCATGAATGCTTAAGTCATTTGATGTATAACTTTAACTAAGTATAACTTTTAAACGAAAGATTTTATTAAAAAAATTATTGAGATATTTTTATAGAGCAATAAATTTGGTATTAGAATATTACTTTTTTAAAGCTGTAAATATCAAGAAAGGTCCCGTCTAAATTAAAATTAAAGTGCTTGTTTACGTTGCACCCTTATTTTTAGCGCTACAACTATAACTTCAGGGGGCGTTTGCAAAAAAAAAATCAACTTGAGAAATATCGGACACCCTAATGTAGATACATATACCATACATAATTGTACGCATACATATATCGATAAATAACAGTAGGGATTAAGAGAAACTGAAATATTTAATATTAAAAATTGTTTAAGCATATTGAATAAGTTTTAAAGGTCAAACAACCAACAATTCATATTAACTCATATTATCTGGAAGTGAATTTATACAGTGAGCAAAAAACAACTTGTAGAGAGAGATGTTTTGACTGTGAAGTGACTTATCTCTTTTACTATTTCAGCTTTTAAGCTGTATCCAAAAGTAACAAGATAAGAAACCTTAAGTATTTATCGCGATTATATAAAAATATTCAAAATTTCATTAATTTTAATGTTAACAATTGCAAAAAATTTATATAGCTAATTTTTGAGCTGCAAAACAAATTTTACACTGACGTTGGCATCATTTTAAGGGTAAGGTGGGTTTAAGAAGTTCAAAAAAAGTTTTTTTATTATTTTTTTTAATACAAACCATATATTTTATTTAAACAGTATTTTGAGAAATTTTTATTTAAAAATTCCGAAAACTTAGCGGTTAGTACCTCATTTTCGAGAAATCGTGTTCACCGACTTCAAAAATTGAGTTTTGGGATAAACACGAAGAGCTGCACTGACGGGGCCTAATGAGCGGAATTTTTAATGGTATTTACTTGGATCGAATTGAAATTTATATATTTGTCAAAAAAACCAGATACTACTGTTCAGTGCATTATTACTTAATTCAAAGAGGCAGGTGAAGCTGGAAGGTCCAAAAAAATTTAACGACCTAAGCTGATAGAAAATTGCTCAGAACAACAAGGAAGACCCCAAAAAATACGCTTTTGCTATCACTAAGGAGTTGAAGGAAGTTGCCATTGTATTCACTCAATTTTGGAGTGTATACACCACGAACAATCCAAACAAGAGGTTAAGCCTGAGCTTCAGGAAATATGGGCAAATATACCTTTTTGACATACACAAAATTTAGTGCATTTTATGAATAGACGACTGCTAAGCGTGCACATACGAATATACATTTTTCATAAGAGTGTTGTAACGTCAGTTAATGCAAACTGTATCAGTTTTTTTTTGGCTTTAGAAAATAGACAACTTTGGAGAAAACGATTAAAAAAAATTACAATTAATTAGAAGAAGAGGAATATTACGAAAACGATTTAGAAAAATAAATTTCAATTAATTTCTGCAAGTCATGATTCAATTATATAAAGTTGTGTCGATAGACCAAAAACAACAATTTGTCACAAGGGATTTAATTCGCAATGTCAAAATCAGCCATTTTGTTATGTTTTTATAATTCAAATATAAATTTTTCAAAGATATCAACCAATAAAAATGTTTTTTGGGTGATAACTGAATACGAATAGATTGTAAATCATACAAAATCATCAAAAATGTAAACAAGAAATTCTCAAAAAAGTTTTTTTTTATTTTTTATTATGGATTAGAATTGTTTTTGTAAGAAGAAGCACGCTCCGATGTAGCATAACCTTATATAATTGAATAATGCTGAAACTTAATAAAATTTAACTTAACCTTTGAATGCAATTCAAAAGTCAAAATGTCACCCTGTACAAGTTTTTTTTTTTGTTCACTGTATCTGCTTGATAAATTAATGTCAAAGATTTCATTAATTTTATTGAACGTATATTGATGTAATTAAAAAACGTGCAAAATAATTTAACGCTATCTATCATCTTTGAATCATACATACGTTTTTATTTTTTTTTATTTATCTCATGCACTTATCATCCACATAGTCATTACTTTCGCTGTGAAATACCAACACTTTCATTTTAAAATTTTTTTTCTTCTTATAATCTATGAACAATTTTTGTAATCGGATAATATGGGTTAAGATATAACTGTACTATTAAATCGCATTCAAGTTATGTTAAAACTAAAGAAAAAAACTCAAAAATTCTTAATATCTAATTAACCCATATTATCCAATTATACACAGGTAAACTTAATGTCAAGCCAACCACACCCTGGCTCATTAAACAGTTTAAAAGCCTACAACAGCAAGGACTTTAGTCCTTATCATATTAGTCATGCTTCCCTACTGCAGCCAAAGAAACCAACTTCGATAGGTGATTTGCCTAGTCGCCATGAAATTATCGAAAGTCCACGTCAAAAATGGTTGAATGAAATCAACGATATACTTGATGAACCTACAACGATGCACGAAATTCAAGCGCCGGCCATTAACAATGGCAAAATGGAAGCGGCACGTCTCATTGTAATACGTCGTCGCAAAATGAAGAAACACAAGTTGAAGAAATTGCGTCGTAAGATGAAATTTGAATGGGCCAAGGTGCGTCAACGTCGTGAGATGCGCAAAGAGAAGGCATTCCAAGCCAAGTTAATAGCGCAAGTAAAAGCGGGTGAAGCATTTAACGCCGAACAGTATGTAGACGAGCAACTGCGAATGGCAAACGATAATCCATTACCACGCTATTGGAAGGGACGTCGCTTGCCAGCGTTTATCATCAAAGAGAAATTAGGCATTAAATGAAAATTGTTCATAAACAATTAGGGTTAATGAATTTGTATTTAACAGAAGTGTTGGTATTTCATTGGTATTGTGTATAAATAAATTTGAAATAACACAAACATCACCGTGCATGACATATTGTGTGTTGGTTTTCATTTGAATTTCAAAAACACTTTCTCCTTAAACAAAAGGTAATAAACTCCGCAGCAAAGACATTTTACATGTCTGCCGGTAGAGTCAATGTGCCGATAGTTTTTCGTGGCCCTAACGGTGCTGCTGCTGGTGTGGCAGCTCAACATTCCCAATGTTTTGCTGCCTGGTATGCCCACTGTCCCGGTTTAAAGGTTATATCACCTTACGACAGTGAGGATGCGCGTGGCTTACTTAAAGCTGCCATTCGAGATCCTGATCCAGTGGTTTGCTTAGAAAATGAAATGTTGTACGGTGTTGCATACCCAGTGGAGGACAAGGTATTGGACAAAGATTTTGTATTGCCTATTGGTAAGGCTAAAATCATGAAGCCTGGCAATCATATAACATTGGTGGCGCACTCAAGAGCTGTTGAAACAGCATTAGTAGCTGCCGCCGAACTGGCTAAAAAGGGTGAGAAGATTTGAATTTGAATTTAGTACTACAATAGTATTTGTTTATTTTAATTAATTTCACAGGTATCGAAGCTGAGGTTATCAACTTGCGATCAATTCGCCCATTAGATATGGACACGATTTGCCAGTCCGTCAAGAAGACACATCACCTTGTAACAGTGGAACAAGGCTGGCCACAACATGGTAAAATAATAGAAATATATACAAATAAATATAAATACTGCTCATATTAAAATTATAATTTTGTGTTAAGGTATTGGCGCCGAAATTTGCGCTCGCATAATGGAGGACGAAACTTTCTTCCACTTAGATGCCCCCGTGTGGCGTGTATGCGGCGTTGATGTGCCCATGCCTTATGCAAAGACCCTGGAAGCAAATGCTTTGCCACAAGCGCAAAACGTCGTGGAAGCTGTCACCAAAATTATTGGACCCAAAAAGTAGAAAATTAAACACATTAGAACAATTCAATTAGACAGATCGAACGATCATTCACAAACAACTTCACCCACAACTTATTTGTTTCTAATGAAAAGACATAACATTTTAATGAGCCGCCGCAAATTCACTGTTTCGAGTAAAACTATAAAATATGACACTCACTTAATAGCATTATGATAAGTCAAAAGCTTTTTATTTAATAGTTTCACCGCTGAGTTAAAATGATGCTACTCAGGGTAGTTGCATATTAAATGTTCAGAAAATTTGAAATTCGGCGATTTGTCTAAAATTAAAAGCATATTTCATTAATTGGTAGGCACACTTAATTGGGAGGCTAATTCATAAACAAACAACGTTGTGCTACATACCTGCCATATGTATACATTTAAAGTATGACCAAAGTACGTGGGTGAGCACGCACGTAATTTGTGATTATTAATAAAACAATTTTTAGTTAAAAACAAAAAAAAAATGCACTTATCGAATCTCATAAGGTATAAGGTCAGCAAATCAAATTTCAAATAAAACCTGTTATGAATATTAAATTTAGGAAATTGTTTGTTAAACTGTGGGAAATATTAAAAGAAGGTGATTTAGAATATGCCACTAAAGAACACTAATCTTCATATGTATGCAGTTTGATAGCAGTTAACATGACGTCAATTAAGCGGCCATTTTTATTACCCGAACAGGGTTTATAAAATTTGCTACGATGTTTGTAGCACCTAAAAGGAAACGTCGAAGACCATACTTGTATGAATGAGCAGCGTGACAAGCGTCACATCCGTCTATCTGTCCGCATATATACGTGAACTAGTCCTATAAGCTGCTCATTTATTGGGGAAACACCGATATTGGATAACTATGACATATAGGTGCCATATAAACTGCCCGTCAAATTCAAGACTTTGTATGGAAAATTTTTTTATTTGGCAAGGTATCTTGACGCATAGATTATTATCTAGGACGTCGCTACATGCGAGTTGTTCAGATCGAACAATTATAGCATATATGTAGCTCCCATTCAAAGTGACCGATCAAAATTGAGATATAGATTTTTTTTTATACCGTTTATGCTATAAGAAATCTATCTGTGATGGGTGTTATAACAACGAAGTCAACATTTTTTCCTGTTTCCCTTTATGTCAATTCAGTTTAAAGTTTGTCACTGGTATTTTCCCGATTGCAATGGGCAAGGATGCCTCAGCTACAGCGACAGCTACACTTTATTTACATATTTTCTCTATTAGCAAACAAAATGAGTAATAAACTTGCCTCATACATAAATTTTCATTAATTATATTTAGCTTTAGTCATGTTTATATGTAAGTGTTGTAGGAGTGTAGGTACGTGTATGCAAAGACAAAAATATATATGGATACCTTTTCATATCCATGTTCGTAATTAAGGTTAATTTTTTCTTTTGTTATTAAAAAATATACATGATTAACCCTAAAAACTATTTAAGTCCTATCTGCGCCATCCAAATATTTCGGTTATTCGATTTGCTGCAGAAGTTATTAAGCCCCCCGCAAGGCTTGATTGTTGTGCAGCGACGTTCCTGACTAAATCCGAATCATCAATATCTTGCTCATTTGGGAAATTCGGTACTGCCTCCCAACCCGAGCGTAAAGAATTTTCATCTGTAAAACGTTTTATAATGAGTTTTTTTCAAACATAAAAATTAAGTCAATCTTACCTTCCGATTCCGATTCAGTCGCCGTTTCAATACCCTTAAGTAAGGAATCCACCGATTTCATTAAAGGTGCATTCGATATTTCATAGAATCCATGGCGTCCTAAATTGCTCTTCTCCACATCCAAAATGGCCAAAATGTTTTCCAACGTGTGATTTTCATTCAGGCTTCGTAATTGCACCTGTTGTGTATAAGCGAGGTACATGATATTTGAATTTAAACGCGATACTTTGCGCAAAAATTGCTCTTCGTTGAGTTTACGGCAAAAGTCGCTGTAATTTATGCATATATTAAACATATGTACATTTTTGAAAGTTGTAATTTTGCTTACCCATACGACACTTTAAACGGCAATCGCACATTCAGGTAGAAACTCAAAAGTTCTGTCAATTGCGTTGTGTACGTAAGTGCGCCAATGATGCGGAATGCGCTGATGCGACTCGGTGCAACTTGATTGCCTTCATTTTTTGGTACATCGTCCTTGTTATCGGAAAGCCAATCTAAGTAAGCTGTATAATCACCATTAGCAGGCAGTGAAGGCGCTACAATAAGATATTGCATCTCGCTAATTCCACTACCGTGAAATACCCATTTACCACGTATATAGGAGGTATTCTTGGCATCTGCCAACTGCTCCATAGTTTCGCAATCATTTTTACCAGTGACCACGGCATTAAAGCGCTTCTCATTTTTCAATACAATTTCCGAAATCGGAAATACGTATTTAACAAGTTCATTTATATCGTGGCGTGTTACTTGCTGCACCTTATCCAAGAGACCTGTATATCGTTCCCGCAATTTGTTGATTTTCTCATATCTATCGAAGACGTAATCACCTAAAGCCTTTACCTTTATCGGATAATTAGGCAACTGTTTGCGCTTATCGAAATTTACTTTAGACCACTGATCCCTTTGCTCTTTTCGTTTCGTCAAAAACATTTGCTTCTCTGATACTAATCTATTAAGCAGTTGAATCGTTTGCTTTTTCTGCTTAATTTCACATTGCAAATTTTCGCTGGAACGTTGCTCGCGCATATACTTTTCATAGCGAGTATTCAAGTCCTTGAGACCACCTTTTGTTTTAATATATTTTTGTTGTTTCTCAAATAAACTATATGGAATAAAATGATAGTATATATTAACAAGTATATGTTAAATATATTAAAACTCACTTTTCCTTTTGTGTACAACCAGCAACATTACTGTGTACAATATTACCATTGCGAACACATGAACAGCAGTGGAAATTATGCTGGTGCTGTGATTTGGTGCACAGTGGGCACCGATACCTTAAACCCAGTATGTCTTCCGGATTTGTGCGACTGGCAGAATCCCTGTAAACATCTTCACTTGAACTAGACACGTGAAATCTCAAATTAGGTGCGTTGATGCTTTCATCGGACGACGTTCTGGACATAGATGCCATAACATAGTCGTCCACAAAAACCACAACTAACACTACCTTTGCGCTGCGTCACAGTGCTTTTTCTCTTTCAACACAACAGGTAATATTATATCTGTTTTAACTCATTTGCCATATTATTACAGAATATACTGCAACACTTTGAACTATTATTCCTTTTACATAAACACAACTCCAAAGTATTTATTGAACAAAGTATTTAAAGTTTATTTCAATGGCTAGATAACTAAAACTTTGTTGTCTTTTTTCACAAATATTGCAGTTGACAGTCAGGGTGGCAGACTCACAAATTGTTAAGCAGTTGCCTGTCTGTTTTCGACAGGGATAATGTTTTCGAGTTGCGAAATTAAATGACAAGTTACAGGGAGAGAGGTTGTTTAAGAATGGCTACAGGACACTGTTTGTTTTGTATCTTATCATTTTGATATACTATTTTTGATATGCATACATAGCTTGCTTACTAAATCGTAGTCTAAACACTTTAATTTTGTTGAATTAACAAGTAAAGAAGATTATACTCCAAAATTTTATTTGATAGTGGTAAAGAAGATTATACTCTAAAATTTTATTTGATAGTGGTTTCTTTCTTAAGCGGAAAATTCAAAATTAAGACAAATTGAGTTATGATCTTTATAGTGGATAGGGTAGATTTGTGTATTTTTTTTGTTTACATATATTATCAGCTGGTAAAATACCAGATGATAGTGCAAAACAAAGGGTGTTTTAAATTGTTACAAACACATAGCTACAGGGTGGCGGAACTGTTTTGTGAAATCCAAAATCTAATGCAGCTTTTGTTTACATTTAAAACAGCAATACTTTTACTCTTAATAACTTGTTAGACAACATTATTTATTATTCAATTAATTGAAACATCACTTAATATCACTAAATTAGGATTATATATATATTTATTCAATTTCAGGCCACAACCCGTGCTAAAGAAGAAGGCATAAAACCAAATGCAACTACGTACA